TATCTGTAAACCCAAGTTTCCTCTATTTTGCATGAAATTTTAAGGGATTATTTGTTATTTTCTATGTTAAAAGTGTATTCATTTTTTCACATATATTGAAGAAGTCATATAAATATACAAAATGATACAATAACAGAAAAATTGACCATCAAGTAAGAGAGAAAAACACTTTTTATTGATTTTTCACTCAAATGTGCTTAAAGATTGGAAGCTTTCAAATTAATTAGCTTATAAGATAGAAAAATCATATTTATTTGTTATAATATTGTAAAACTTCAGTCCAAATTTTTTTTTTCATTTACTTCATAAATTTCCTTCAAGCTTTTGATTGTTTAAAACGTGATCTAAATTCGTTATCCTGTTGTTATGTTGAAAAGCAGAACAAGCCGGCAAATTCACGAAAAAATATTGTCCCTGCTAGATTTTAAACTCAGTTTTCTGTTTCTATGTAAAGTTCTACAATTGTGAAATTGAAAAAAGTAGGATCTTCCCTAACATCTCAGTCAATATGATAGTTATTTAAGAAAATATTTTTAGTCAGAAACCAGACAAGAATTCTTCCTTAAGGCTTTTCCTTGCTTGTCTTAAGTTATTCCCAAACCAAGTATGCACATGTTGCATTAATGGAGGTTTATGATGCATGCTTTAGATGCAGCAATTGACATACTTTTTATGCTTCAGTGTCTCTGGTGATGGGCTGTATTTACATTGTTTATTCTATAGTATGAGTGGTACACAAACCAAATTTATACTCATCTGGTACATGTACATTTATGGATGCTTTGATCATGCCATGCTGTATATCAAATATTAGTACATGTATATAACCTATAAAGGATACAAGCTCTGCAGGGACTGTTATAATTATTTGTGTACTTTATAAATGTTTGTTCTTTTATTTGTTATAACCATGACAAATGGCAGCTGCTTTGAAATAAGAATGACATATATTAAAAAGTCACACAAGTCCACGAGTGCTGTGGGATAGTGTACTGTTGCTACTATAATACTACCGATTTATACAGTCAGAGTCCCATACTCATTCCCAAGAGGAGCATTGATTTCATAATTTGATCAATACAGTAACTGTTCAGTCAGATTTTTTTTTCATCAAAAATTCAGAAAATTTTATTTTACTTGCCATGAGTCCCCAGTTGTTTCAATACATACATGTGTACATTTAATTTCAAAATAAAGGGGACAATTCTGTTTATTTGTATTCCGTAGAAAAGGTAAAGCTCATACGTAGGTGAGCTTTTCTGATCAAAATTTGTCCACGGTCATTAACAAGACATTAAAGGGGATCAAAAATTTACATGGTAATTTATAGGAAAAAATCATAAGTTTACAAATCTTGTTTCTCTGCAGGGCCATGATTAATCTCATGAATATGCATGCAGACACGCATAGTGCAGATTTAATTTAATTCATGGCCCTTGGGCTTGACATGGGAATATACAAGAAAAAAATATTTGCCAAAAGAGTAGCAGACTAGGGCCCTGATTATATAAGTCATAAAAATTAATATACAACCATCCACAGATAGTGCAGATTCAAATTTGTTAGAATCATGGTCCCAGGGAGTAGGATTGGGTCACAAAAGATGATTAGTTTTACATGTGAAATTAAAAAAAAAAAATCTTTTCAAGAGTAGCAGGGCCACACTAGATTATATTGCATGTAATAATATTGCAGCATTCCATAGTTATGCAGATTCATGTTTGTTGTCAAATTATTGACCCTAAGGTTAGGATGGAGCTAAAATTGGGGATTTATATGTATACAGGAAACTGATCCTTAAAATGTCCTTCTCTCAAGAACAGCAGGACCAAACAAGGTATATTACATGTAATATTGAAGCATGGCCATGTTTGTGGATTCTAGCCCAGTCAAATCATAACCAATTGGGGTTAAGTTGAGGCTACAAAAATCTTATAGAAAGCCTATGAAGAACAGCAGAACCAAGGTAACCCTGCTGAGCATTGTGGCCTATGGGCCTGTTATTTCTTTTTTATTTGAACTAGTGTAAGTCCATTTTATGCTGCATATATATGTTTCACATGTGGATGAAGGTTAAATTTTATTCTGAAATAATTTGCAATACCTTATTGGTTATGGTAAATAGTAATTATTGTGAATTAATATCCTAGGGATTTATAAACATGTATAAAGTAAACTCTAGTGGCTTAATTGTGTCCATTGATAAGATGAAGAAATTCATTGGAGTTAAATTGAAAACATTATATAGGTATACAATTTTCAGTTTTATGTAGTACTGAATTATGTCAAAAATGTCATTTTTTCCTGTTTTTAAAAATGATTTTATTTTTATTTAATTGTTTGTGGGTATGGTTTTGTATTTTGTGAATTCACTACCAGTAATTATTCTTTTCAACTGGCAATTCTTAACAGTCTCTTTGTATGAACTTTCTGCAGTGTATAGCTTAAATTTCCTCAAATTTCCTTAAATTTTCCAGCATAACATTTTAAAAAGCATAACATTCTAGTAATTAAGCCACTAGCAGACCAGGGGAAACTGATGCTTAAAGCTCTTGCTAAGAAACACTTACATGTACATGGATTAAGGCTTTCATTATAGCCACACATTAACATTTAACTTGGACATATCAGAATCCTTAGATTTGAAACAGAAAACTGCAGCATTAATCAAGAGTGAAATGGAAACTTGAAAGACTCAAGTTAAACTTAAATAAATGTAAAATTTGTAATTTTACATTTCATGTCCTTGTCAATTATTTGAACAATTATGTAACATTTCAGTTATTTCAAATGTCTATCTTTATTAAATTAAACACAGTTACTCAAGGTTTTTTAGTACAATATTACAATATTCTATGTGGATTTATGCACTAATCAATCATTTTTAACTCACCTGAGCCAAATGGCTCAAGTGAGCTTTTCTGATCGAAGGGTATGTGTCCGACATCCATCTGTCATGTGCTGTCTATAAAGTTTTCACATTTTTGACTTCTTCTCAACATCTCCTTAGCCAGTTTGAACCAAAATTGCAAAAGAGCATCCTTAGGTGAAGGCAAAAAAAAGTTTGTTCAAATGAAGGGCCATACTGTCTTTCAAGGGGAGATAATCTTTAAAAATCTTCTTTTCAGTAACCACTGGGCCAGAAAAAATGAAACTTACATGTATGTGAAGCCTTCCTACATATAGTAGATTCAGGTTTGTTCAAATCATGGCATACCCCCCCCCCCCTTTAACTTTTTTCATAGGAATATATAGGAAAAAGTATTTAAAAATCTTTTAAAGCCATGATTAGTGGTCAAAAAATAAATATCGAAGCATCCTTAGTTAGTTTAGATTCAAGTTTGTTCAAATCATGCCCCTTCCCTGCCCTTACGGGAGCTGAATTTCTGCTTTTCTCTAGCTAAGTGCTTAGGTGAGTGATGTGGCCCATGGGCCTCTTGTTTCAGTGTACAACAAATCTTGTAACTGCGGTGATCAACTGAATAGTAATGTTAAAGAGATTACCATTACTTATCTATTAAAAATCATCCTCATCTGAAAATTTAAGATTGAACATAAATGTTAACCCTTGTTGTTAACCAGTTCCAAAACCTGCTCATTCCAATGTTTTGTTGAGGTATGGCATACCAGTTTGTGTTGTTATGATATTGAATTACATATGTTCTGTTATGTAGATGTAATTATGCATCGTCCAAATAAAAGTGATTGTTGATTGTACATCTATTGTTTGATTATTCTCTCTATTGTCAAATTTAAAAAGGATCAAATGAAGAAGAAATATTTAGCAGTCTACGGTTCCTTGGTTTTCTGATGATGTCAAATGAATGTCAAATACACAGTTTTTGAGATTGAGGCGGTAACAATATACTGTACAAGCAGAAATTTTAGCCAGGATTCAATTTTGGCATTTTTAGTGAGGGTGTTGAGATCATTAAAATTAAATGTCGCTAAGAATTTATTCTGTATTGAAGGTTACCGACATCTTTCTATGAACCATGAAATCGCTAAAATTACTTCTCCCTAAAATTAAATACTGATTTTTAAGGAAATCTTGCTAAATTTGCGTCTCTCTAAAAATTCCACTTATACGGTATGATGTAAATTAAAATTGCCATAAAGAATATGTACTTATCTCTAGTATAGGACATGTTGCTGTATAGGTATGCAATTGATAACGAACTCATGATAAGTACATGAAAAATTGAGTTTTATTCTTATTTTTCATTCAATGACATATCAGAATATCAAAGTTGAATGTACATGTAATGCATACATCAATAAAACTGATTTTCCAACCAACTATATTATCATGGACTGAGAATGTTTAAGGAAGTTTGCTTTAATTGGTCAATATGGATATTTTTCTGGTGAATATCGGACCATATTCACCACCAAAAGAGTCCATAATTGTACAATAAAAATTCTACTTTCAAAATATAATTTTTAACATTTTTTCTATTTTGTGATGTGTGCATAGGTACCTGCCTACTAACATGTGAACCTGGTTTTGTCATATCACTATTGCATATAAACACATGTATTTAGTGCAATACTGTAGATTCCTTATTATACGCGAGTACTTAATATCGCGAAATGGCCCAATGACATCAAATCGCGAGAACAATAATTCGCGAATGGGTGATTTGTCTTGAGCGGTGGTTCTCGCGTAATAACGCGATAATTTATTCCTCGCGTATATTTAGGAATCTATAGTAGTCAACTGCAAACCCCTAAATGAAGGAGTAAAAAGACAAGCCTCTATAGTAACGTCAAATACTACAGCTCTTATGTCGAACAACAAAGGTCCCTCCTTAATATTAACTTTATACAATCATGTACATATTTTTTTTAATTTAATTAAAACTTGATTTTAATTATATAAACATTCTTAAATGACTTCAAAATGTCAATAAAAAAGTAATCTCAGATATTTAAATAAAATACTTTAAAAATACATGGTAAATAGAATACTGTACCAGCCCTTAGGCTGATATGGGGCCATTTGGGAAATCCAAATTAACTTGGATTGATTTACATTACATATTTCATGTTATTTTTCACAAAAAAAAGGAAAATATTTGAGTATATCAGCAAAGACACAAATATGCACACATATGGGAAATTATTTAATTGGACATTACTGGCAAAGTATTCTGCAATATATGATACATATATTTATGATACAGGGATTGTGATGTGACACACATATGGTTAATGATATAACTAGGACATTATGGCAATGTATCCTGCAATATGATATATAGATTGAAATAAACAGGGATTGTGACATGACAAAGTCATGACATGTACGTGTATCTTAATTCCATTTCAAACAGTTTTCACATGTATAAATGCTAATTAATTTATAAACTAAGATATAACGATATTGTGGAGTTTGATATGCAGCTAATTTCTCCAAACAAAAATTATTTTGACATCACCAGTGATTTGGGGTATATCAGTGCATGTCTATGAGTATTAAAACAAAATTTAAAAACAATCGAAGTCATGTTGAATAATAAACAATTAAAATAGAGCACAGATACCCTCTTATTTCCTCATGAACAGGCTCTCCTTTAAAAAAAATGCTGGCACTAAAAGATATCCATGAATACATCATTGATGCATATTATCACAGTACTGCATCAGTGTTCATTATATAACCCTCTTAATTAAGGCATGTCAAGAAATATGAGTTGTTGCAACTCAGTATACTGTATACAATAAATATTTTAAAAGTAGAATATAATGAAAAATGAAGGAAATTGATATGTTTAATATCCTGAGCATTTACATGCCACTGCATAAAACTGTCGTCTGTATTATATATCTGAAGGGGGTTCCATTCCTTTCTCAAATCTGAAAGGCACCAGGCGCTTATACACAAATAAGATCCAGCCCAAAGTTAGAATGATCATACCACACATGGACAAAAATGTCACCCTTGGACCAAATGAATTATAAATTAAGCTGACAAATATTGGTCCCACGGTTCGAGCAAGGCTTCCTGAGGCTGTGAGGAAACCCATCATTGTACCCTGAAAGTAAAAATATATTTACTTGTGTATATATTATACTGTTTCAGTACACATTTTTGTCTTTGCAGGGCTGAAGGATGTCTTTGTTATATAAACATGTACTGTATATTTCCTAAATATATGTGAGGAATTTATTATCATGTAGTTTTGCAAGAAGCAACACTTGTGAAATAAACTTACTTGCTTTCATTTAATGTTGCTAAAATCAATGTAAAATATACAAGTCATTTTGTGATATTAAAAGTACTCGCACAAATCAAGGAATCTAAAGTATTTATTGTGAGCAAATTTGAAAAACATTCTGTCAGTAATTCAAATTTTCAAGGCATTGACATTTTAACAGTTTATTTTTACAATGTATACATTTCAAATCAGAATGTAACAAACTATGTTTCAATCAAACTTTATAATAAAACAAAAAGACATTACACAAACCTGAGGCTTTGGTCCCAGTATTTTGGAATACAAGGCATATGACATGACATTTCCTGTTGGATATCCTATGCAAATGAGCGCAGTGCCACAAAGAAATTGGGCCAATGTTACAATGGGGGTATAGGCGCACCACTGGTAGGCATCTGGACACCCAGTGGCCTCAGGATTCCCCCCTGAGCTGTTACCGACCACGGCTGGTGCTTTGATGGACTGGTTGTGGTATGGGGATATAGTCTGGGCAGATGGTAAAACAGTAAACCATGACTCGTTTATTGATGGTGTGCTGTTTGGGTAAATTTCTGTAATTACAGTGCATATGTCAAGTTATGTTCAAATCAGTTTCAACCAATTAATTACCGTATGTTATTCATTTCTGTACTCAAAAGTGTTTCACAGTAACTCACAAAAACTTAGATGAGACGGCACATTAAAGGGTGAAAGGAGATAAGTCAATAAAAAACTGCCTTATATAATTAATTCATCATGTATAAGAGATGCAATCCTAAGTTTATTTAATATTGATTGCATGGCTTTTACTCTATTTTGAAGATTTCAATGTAAAGGTCTGTACTTGGAGTATGACCTTGACCTTTGACTTACATCTTTACCGATGTGCCTCTGTGGGTGATGTATGAGCCAGATGTGCCAAACAGAAAATCAGCTCAAGACAAGGTTTTTCATAAGAGATCTGTTACGATCCTCTGTCATAGAAATGTGGTTCAAGGATACTGCATAAGCACTTTTGTATGAGCCAGATAAGGCCAAAGAGAAGAGAAAATACTTGGACACCCCTAACCCTTGGGTATTCTTTTGGTAAAGTATGAGTCAGATAGAACCAAAGAGATGCTCTAGACAACAATTTCTGCAGAGATATTTTGAACATTGACCTTTGATCTATAATTAATTTATTGGTTTGAGGTCACTGCACATCCTTTACCCCCTGCACTCTATGGCCTTGTTTTGGCTAAGAGAGAAACATGCTCATGACAAGATTTCTTAAAGAGCTCTTCTATGACCTTGATCTACGGTCAAGGAAACTGATTCATGGTCACCGTACACCCTCTACCCACAGGTGCTTCATGGATAAAGCATGAACCAGACTCCTGACTGCAGACCTTCAACCCAAAGGTACTCAATGGGTGAAATATATGCCAAATAGGGCAAAGAGGAGAAAATATGATTGAGACAAGGATTTCTGAGAGTAATCTGCTTTGATCTTGGACCTTTGATTTAGAATTGGTTCAATAACAATGCAATCTCCTTACCTATGTATACAGGCAGTCTGTAAGTGAAGTTTGAGCAAGATTAGGCCAAGGGAGAAGAAATATGCTCCAGACAAGATTTAAATATTTTTTTACCATGACCCTTCATCTCCTTAAAATTAGTTTAAGGTCACTGCACACCCTCTAACCAAGGGCACTCTATGGGTGAAGATTGAGCCAGATTGGGCTGGATGATTGATGTAGGACAGACAGACAGATGGACAGCTGTCTGGACTGATGGATGGACAGACTAAACACTACAGGGCACCCTCAGAGCAGGGCTCTAATTATACAAATAATCAATGGAGGAAACAAAAGTTTGAAAATAAACTTACTGGCCATTTGGGAGGGAGGGTAGTTGTGTCCCCATGGAAGATACACCACGAAGCCCAAAAGACAACAAACAAGTCCTCCAATCAACAAAAATCGCTCATTAATTCTGAAGTAAAAATTGATTATCAAAATCATCTCAGTTTGACATATAATACTCAACAAAAGGTTTTATACATAAATGCTAGGAACCCTCTATAGTCTGTCATCCTCAAAACGTCAGCAGTCCTAGCTGAATCAACTCACTGCTGTTGGACCCCTGAAAAAATTTCATTCAATATTTTACGGGCTTGCTTCTCTCATTGAGAAGCACCAATCAGATTGGGGCTTTCATAAGTTTCTTAAGTTTTACAGGTTGTTTGTCACTGAAAAGTTCAATGGACTGGTCAAGAGATAAGAAAAACAATTTGTAAAGATTTTAGGAGATTGTAAAGATTTTAGGAGATTTTAAAGTCTTGTAATATCCTAGAAAGACATCACTGCAGTCAGCCTGTAGATGAAACTGTCAGGGATCCAATGGCAACAAGTTGACTCAGGCCCCCTGATGTTGTGACTCAGTGGATGATACTCTGCATACTGTAGAGTACTACTTCCATCTATACTGTATTTTTTGTATTTTTATGCAATCAAAGTTATATGCCCTTTGTTCTAAAATTTAAAAAAAATTGTATCATTCCATTTGATATCACTCCAAGGATTCTTGACATTTTTTCTGACCTACATCAATTTATTGAACATATATTTTTCCTATCTAAGTTACAAAAGTGACCAGTTTAAATATTGTATGTGTACTCAAAAAAGCAGGCTTCATATTTTAGCGGCTTTTGTGTGCAGCACAATTTGCTAATGAAGACTGCTAATAAATCATTTATAAATACAATATAAGGCACGGACATGTAGCGCAAATTCATGAATACCCCAACAACTCCATACCCAGTGGTTGCGCTAAATTTTGAATACGCCAATTCATGTACACATACAGTATACATTGTCTTTGAATATTTTTCCTGGGGGTAATTGACAGATACCCTATTTTGAAAATAAAATTTTAGATAAGCTCAGTTTTTAATTACATCTTTATACGATATAATTTTCTCAATGTCAAAAAAACTTTTTTCAATATAGTATAAAAAATCCTACTCCTCCAAAATAATTCTACCATAATGTCTGATTCAAGTTTATAGATGAAATTAAAATAACTTATTTTGAATTCTTACTTTTTAGAGAGAAATTTGATGACAATGAACACTAAAATAGCTACCACTCCCCCTACTGCTAATATTATTCCATTGTACAGTGTGGCGTGTGCTCGAGTCCAAGCATACATATTCATGGTCAATGGTGTTCCTATTCTGGAAAAAATAAAAATGAGACAATGGTTTACTTAATTTCAGAATTTGGATCTGTGAAATGTGATTAAACTGAAAAGAAATTTACAATGAACTTTCATGAAAATTTTATCAAAATTAAAAGTAGAATTTAAAAGCATTGAGTAATATTACAAAGGAAAACTTTAACAAGAATCAGATATTTTAATGTTGATCTAGTATGTATAATGGAATGCATGAATTGCTAAATAATTATTTCAGAGACTCAATCTTTGTGGAAGAATGATTTTTTTTTTCAATTTCTTACGTCTCAAAGACAGCAAAGATAAACAGCACCACAAAAAAGATGATGTTAGAGGCCACAACAGCAAAGATATCCGGAGTATATTCAGGAATTTCTCTGCCTACAATCATTAATTAAAAATTTTATAATATATTATTTTTTTTTAAAAGTCAAATAACAAAGATCATCATTTATACATGTGTATAACTTACTAGAGTGTTGCTTATATTTTTAAAAATTATTAATACCTCTTTATCTGATGAAGTTGTAATGTTGCAGATCTAAACATTCTATGTGCTTTTTATAATACAGTCAAACATTGTTATCTCTAACTCAAAGAGACAAAGAATTTAAAGAAAAACTTTGAGATATACAAGGATTCAATGTATCAAAGTTAAGTTACATAAAGTAAAAGTTGGTCGGACTTCTCACTCACTTCACAAAAATCGATAGTACGAGATATTGGTGTTCAAGATAATGATATTCAACTGTATTTCCTTTTTAAATCAATTAATATCTCAAACACATTTACACATGAAGTTTGAAGGACTGGTTTAACTTAAAACCCACAAACCTGTGTCTTGAATGCTGAAGTTATATTCTTCATCTACAACCCGGTGTTCCCTGAATACCACAAACAATAGGATGAGATTAAGGAGACCAACTAAGGCACTAAGGAATGCTGGAGCTGTGTACAGATTTATCCGTATCCCGGACTTATGGACTGGTCCGGGGTATCCAATGGGGACCATAGCTGTCTGGATTGCTGCAAAAAAAATCTTAAAGGTAAAGAATATCGCAGAGGCTTATAGCCTTCTCCATTAATATTTATTTTCTCATTTTCTTAAAAAAGTTTATAATTAACCAAAACTTATTTAACAAGCTTTGCTCTATATGACTTAAGCTTTGAATGGATTTATTAAGTTGGTACAAAGTATAACTGGTACATGTAATACATATTTCTGGTAACTTTTGTTGTAGTTTTTTGTCAATATACTGTATACCAAGTTTCATTCAAAGCTACTTATTAAATAAATTAGCATTATAAAGTTTGTGACAAATACCATGAACTTTCTTGCAACAGATACTTCATTTCAATAAAAAAAACTTGATCCCAAAGTCAAATCTTCATAATTCAGAATTACTTACAGACTCATGCACATGATGCAACCTCAAAAAAATTTATGACAGGAAAAAGTTAATTTACAGTATCCTTACAAGTAATTATATTACATACATTTTTTAAGGGTGTGTAACCTTTGAACTTAAATAATTACAGTCAAGCTGTGTTTTTACTGCATGCACCTGCATTTTCCATGATAAAAAGACACTACATTGAAAGAAAAGTTCCTGACAGAACTTTAACATGTGCCATATTAAGTCAGGTGGAAAAAGATAAATAATTTTTCCCTTATACCTGGTCCTACAATAAAGCCGATTGCTTGGAAAGCACTGAGATTCGCCATGGCTGCTGTTCTCTCTTTGATTGTGGTGGCTCCAGATAGGTAAGATCTGACCACCGCCACATTTCCTATACAACATAAAAAAAAACAACAAATTCAGAATTACAATTGTCTGCTTTCACTGACGTTCACAGTTGTGGCATATGCCAATTATCTACAACTTTGCAATCATTTGTTATTATAAAATTTAATTTAACAAATTAGCAGTCTATAAAATAATGTACATCGATGTATTATAATTTTCTTTTTCATTCATTACAATATGGTAGCTAGTATCTAAACAGTGTCAAATTTACTGATCTTATCAACATGCATGATCAAGGACATGTATACTGACAGTGAATAAATATCATGTTAATCTGTTGATAAACATACTACATGCAAGTGCACTAAATTAACCTTTCATATCCAAATATTAGTACATGCATGTACATGCAACTACACATTCAGTTTCATTCACTTATGTAAAATGGCAGGGACACAAACATTGACAAGATCTGTAACATACATGTATTTCAAAATTTAAAAAAAATTATAAAATGAAAAACCTGCACCAAATCCAATTAACGCTCTGGCAGCAATCAGAGCCACTAGTCTGTGTTCCTTTATGTCTTCCAGATAGGCATACAGAATGTTAGCAAGAATGTTAATGATGAGAGACACAACTAGAGGTTCTCGACTTCTACCCAAACAGTTAGCCATCTTGCCAAAGAAAGGAGAAGCAATGAGCTGACCAATACTGTAGGAAGCCACCACCCAGCCCAACAGATCTGTTGTTGCATCTGTGTCCAGCTAAAATTACAGGTTATCTTTTAAAGGCATGCCATTGCAAGCAGAGTGAAAAAAAGGGATGGCAATTTAAGCTAAAATCCTAAAATTGAGGTCATTGTGACCTACTTTTTTTTAGTTGCAACACACTTCCTTCTAGACATGCATGAACTAGTAAAGTTTGATTTTCAAAGTCTTAAAATGTGCTAGATTGATATGGTAAAAAGTTTAGAACATCAGACAATACAGAGTATTTGAGCTGGCATGACAATTGTTGCTTAAATACCTTTAAATCAGTGCCTTCATAAAGTGAACATATTATCTTTTAAACTAACTAATTAACATGCTCCAGTGCATCTTACAGTACATGTAGTTAGCGATTTATCAATACCTGTTTTATTGATGCAGAACAAACATGCTCTGGTTTAGCATTAGTTCATTTTTGCCAAGTGATAACATGTCATATAGTGAACAATTATTAGTGCATCATTGATGCATATAACCATTAGATCAGTATTTCATGCACACCTGTAGATTCTTTAATTTTCATGCATAGTTGTAGAACCTTATACATGTATCTCTGTCTCTATATATTCATTCAAATCTTAGGTACTTCCTATACCCCCTTTATCATAACTAGACTAAAGTTCCTTACCAGTTTCAGAAACGGCCATATTGAGGACATACAGATGGAGAAGGACACACTACTGAGGAACATCGTGAGGTACATGACACGGATGGACCGCCATCGACTCTGACGGACTTTTGGGTTCTCAACAAATGTATTGCTAGGCATGCCATTGGATGTGCTGAAAAAAAGCTTTGTCCCATTATTGACTCAGTACAATTTCAATGTAAAATATTTTAAAGAGCAAAATGAATCAGGCACCTAGCAAAAATACAAAAGTTTGCAAATTCTTCTATTTGAAAAAGTTTCTTAAAAACCAAACATACAAATTATAATTATCTGTCCAACATGGGATGATATCCTGTAAAATTCGGAAGAAGTGGATTTACCACTGACAGAGTCGATCAAAACTCTCATCTACGTATAGTCAATTTACTGTGGACACAATCCATAAAACTAATAATGGATTAACCTTATTTAGCAGAGTATGCTTCTATCTGGCTTAAACAAATATAAACAAAGAGGTGGAATAAGTGACCCTCTCTGTCTACCTCCTAGCTAATATTTATTGTCTGCTGCAATTTTTTTCTCTGTGTTATGCATCCAGAGATAATAAGCATAGTACCTACCCATTATATTTCCACATTTCAATCTCTGCTTCCACCCTTTCATTCTGAGTGAAATATTTAATAGACACAACCGAAATGTTTTTGTCCATGGTTTAGTAAAATGCTATAACCAGTTAGATTTTGGTTATATAATTTATGAGATCTGATTCCTGGACTTTATCCCTTGTTTTAGCACAAACTGGGAAGAGGGAATGTTGTCAAGGAATTACAGGTAAGTAGCGGTGCTGTTGGGCCGTAATGAAACATCAATAAGAAAGGTGCTGTAATTTCCATAAGGTCCTCCAATATTCAATCCATTAGAACTGGTAAAATCAGCTGTCCAAATTTATTGTAGATATATATATATAGAAATGATGGTTAATAATAATTAACATGAAATTCAACAATTATATTAAGTTTAACAAGTCAAATTGAGTCTTAACAGAGTGGGATATAGCCAGTAAAGCATCTGGCCTCTGAACTATAGAAAGTAATTATTAATTAATGAACATAGCTTTTTTGTAAGATCGACTGAAACTAACAATAATTGAATTGTAACACTAACCCAGAACTGTGTTAATAAATAATTATTTACCTCCACTGAATATTATCTCCCTTATTTCTTTTATGACACTCAAAAGATCTCCTCTGTTACAACATAGTAATGTTTCCAAAAATTAATATATTCACATCCAATGAAAAAAATTAAGATTCAAATCCTCATCCTTCAACCATAATTATAGTATTACATCCGTGTACCTGGCATACCCAGTTTGCACTTAAAACACTACATGCTGAAGTCCGTGAACATTCCATGAACTGTTTATTGATAAACTGAAATACGTTCATGCAGGACATCCATACCATTACATAATGTAGTTAGATAAGACTTATCAGCTGGTGACTTAATTGCTTTAGCTGGCACATTTTGGGACAAGTAAAGAATCGAAATATTGCTGGGTTGTTACTTCCTTAATCACTTTGCATTTGAAAATTAATTCACCTGATATTGATCTTTTATACTTGTGAACTGGCCATCTGATGATAATATTGTATATTCTATTTAAATTTACCAGAATGAATGTTTTGTAAAGAATTAGTGCTGTCTGTAAAATTCTTGGTAACTGTGACCATCAAGACTGCAGGATGTCGGTAAGTGCATGGACGATAATTAAATTCTGTCATAAGATTTTTCAATGGAGAAAGGCCAGTTACCTAACAAGGTAGGGACCAAAAAAGAGTTTTTGTTTTTAAAAATGTAATTATAAAAAGTTTAGTATTTATTTTATGATGATAAAATCCCTGGGGATTACAAGAAAATTCTTTAATGGATGAATTAGGAACTAGAAAACTGACCAGTAAGCAAGGGCCCCGCCAAGGGGTAGAAATATAATGGTGCAGCTTACAGAAAGAGAATTTTACAAAAAATAAAAAATATATGAAGACTATGCAACAACAACTGTATTTATAAAATTTCAAGATAATTCCTAAATAACCAACAACCTGTAAATAGTATCCTTGTATTTACATAAGGCAGCAAAATATATCATTCTATAATAACTCAATTATTTAAACAAGAATAAAGCATGTGTTTTATAAAATGCCAGCCTTCAGAGAATGCAAATATCACCCAGGCTTGACCTTAACTTCAAAACAAACATCAGTTGCAGACAAAGGTGTTAATTTATCTTAAAGTGACAGATAAAGGTAAGCCTCTAAAATTTTCTGCACCGAGCAAGATAATTAATCCCAGAGGATTACTTGTACTACTCTCTCATCCTTTTCTTCTAAGTTTACAATAAGAACATTTTCATTAATGATAGAATGAGGTTATTATCGGAATACCTGTTAAAATTAATAGTATTCTTGAATTTACATAAGGCAGCAAAAAATAAATAAATAAATAAATAAATAAAATGAAAAAGATATCTTTATGTATATTTTTAGAATTTAATAAAATCAACTCATTGTGTATTTTATCAAAATAAAGTATGAACATTATTTAAATCCACATTTTAGAGAATGTAAACATCATTCAGAAATGACCTTCAAAACAAACTTCATTTGCAGACAGAGGTTTTAATTAATCTCAATTTGATAGAAAAGATAATGCTTTGGATTTTTTCAAGAGGAAATTAGTTAATTAATCCCATTGGACTCATTCCAGCTTTTTAGTTTACAACAGGAACATTCTCAGCAGTTATCTCTCTTGCCAAGTGGTGGCGTCTCCATATGAGTAAAAAATTCTCGAGAGGGACGTTAAACAACATATAAACAAACAAACAAAAGCAGTTATCTCTCTTTGCCCATTCATTCTTATATAAAGTTAAGGAATCTACCCCTCCACTCCCGCTCCAAACTGGATGACAAAGAGAACCAAACTTAGCATCAAAATATGTCTATATAACCAACATACCAAATCTGAACTTAATTGCTCAACTATTAAAAAAAGTTATTAGATTCATGAGGACATGAACTACGACGCTTCACGCCGGCATATTTCATGAAGCGCGTTAGCGCTTCATGATAAATATGCCGGCGTGAAGCGTTGTAGTTCATGTACCTCATGAATTTTCAAAAATTAAAATCATTTCTTATATTTACATTATTTTTCTGATGAATTTCCACAAATTACGCCATTCAACTGTCATTTCTTAAGAAAAAACAGTTTGCACTATAGTTTTGACGTCAAGTACGGTATTATGACGTAACAATGGAGATACTCTTGCTCATCTCATGGTAGTTCATGAGAAAATGAACAATCTTCTTATTAGCAAAGAATCTTAAGGAAAAAGACTTGGAAATGTAAATATTTCCTAGTAACTTTATTCATAATAGACTATAAAAAAGTACTAAAAAATTCATAAGATTTTAAAATAGTATTAAGAAATAATCTAAAGAATTCAATAAATAGGCTTATGGGCTCTTAGGCTCACCCAAATTTAAAAAGGGCTATGAAAAATTCAGTCCCACCACGGACTTGAACTTGGGAATCATAGGAGTCGTTATTGGACATAAATTTTACAATGAGTGTTCATTACCAGTCACTGCATTCAGTTAAACTGTGTCCTCTAGACCTCAGGAGTAAAGAGGATCAACTTGTAATTAAAATGCAATGCATTTTTCAATCATATATACATGTATTAGCAACTTAGCCCCACCCTGAGGTTTAAGTCCAGGGGACAAAAAATTCAAAATTGGCTAAAAAAAAAATTAGCTCAATATCTGCAATCATTTAGAAAAAAAAAAGTGCAGAAAACCATGTGGGACAGACTGGCAGACAGACAGAGGGACAGATAGATGGAGAGACAAATTAACGTGTAGATCGAGAGACAGAAGATGGATGGATGAAGAGGAAATCTATAGTCCTCTCCAGTTTCACTGGTAGGTGACTGTCAAGCATTCTGAGAGTACTAAATAAGGAATACTAGTCCCAGTATTGGCAAGTGTAATCTAGCTGGTTTCTCTTAAAAATTAAAAAGGCCAATAATAACATTAAAAATCACTGAAGGGGTACAAAATGCAAGCTTGATCTATAATTCTTTATGGTTCACTCACATACCAAAAATTGGCTCAATATAACCTGCAAGCATTTAGATAAAATACTACAGAAACCCAAGTAAAAAAATCTGGTTCTCCCTTAAAAATTAAGAGACTGTAATTCTGTCAAATAACATTCAAGCATAATGGAATGCAAACTTGATCTGTAACTCCTCAAGTCCACTCATACACCAAGAATCAGTTCAATATCTGCAAGCATTTTAAAAAAGTGCAGAAAACTAAGTGGGACAGACTGATTGACAGATGAAGGGACAGACAAATAGACAGACAAAGAGGGAACCTAAAATCCCCTCCAGTTTCACTGGTAAGGGACTAAAAAACACAAGTATAACCAGATGGGGTAGAGTCAACTTATGCTTTTAAGCCTGCTACACATGTAAGCTTTGTAAATGTAAAAGTGATGAGTAACCATCATCATAACCCTTAGAATTCATTTTAAGGATATCCAATCTTCATCCAGGAAGGATAACTCTTAAAATTATTATTTAATTTAAAAAGTATCAAAATTAAGCTTCAAATTGAAACCTTTTCATGCAACAATTTTCATTTTATGCATCTCAGTATGATTTAAGATTTTTTTAAGTCTTAGAAATGGTATTGTAAAAATTTGACATTTATATTCCATGAAGTAGAAAAATAAATGCATTTTCATAGAAATCAAATTTCCTTTCAACTAGCCTTAGACACCAATGTTTATTAGCATGATATGAAATTTGAAGTGATCTATGATGTCTTACACTGATAGTAAAAGCATTTTACATTTTAATTTGTATTTTATAACAAATGAACTAAATAGAAGAACTAAAGTAACAAATAGGTATGAAAAAGTGCAATTTTCTCCAAATGCCTGGATACCTAATATAATTTTTAGTAAAATATATTTATTGATCAATTTTCGATCAAAAAATGCATAGCGGGTACTTTGATTTGAATTTCCTGAAAATATATTTGAGATTTAATAATTTTACCTATATACATGTAATATATGATTAACTTTAATGCTGATCATGAACTTTGAAGAAATGCCTTGGGCAAATACACATTATTTTGAGAATTCAGAGACATTTTTGTAGGCATTTTCAATTTACCCAACTCCTGATTTTCAGGACCTGAGGATTGGACTACCTTAAAAATAATTATCAATCCTTCACTTAATTTATAACATAAAAACATCTCTATTTAGAACATTCATAATGTATCCATCACCACAAAACAGTATTTAAATGCCAGCATTATTAATCCCCTACTGGTGAAACTATAGGTTTCCTCCTTGTCTGTCTATCCATCTGTGTGTCCTTTTGTCCTACTTGGTTTTCAACATTTTTTTCTAAAATACTTGCTGATATTGAGCATGTTGAGCTGATTTTTGGTATGTGAGTATAAGAGAATGATGGAATTTTGTAGTAGACAGCCAAGGGGTTGTGGAAATAGAAAGGACACAAACCTGTTGCTTGTGATGGTGATGGATAGCAGGGATGTACTGTTAAATCACTTATTTTCATGGGTGTCAAATTTTCATGGATTGATCAGGGAAAAAATCGGGTTTGTGTGGATTTGATTTCATGGATGAAGAATTG